CATGCATTGCAAGAACGCCACCGCGGAAGCCCTGAACATGAATACGTTCATAAACTCGATTTTGAATTATTTGGATACCAAATACCAGACAGCATGAAAGAAAGTCTCAGTAGTATAGAATTCCATATCTGCCGTCGCCCGTCTTGCGTCGCCCGTCGCACATATCGCCCGTCGTCCTTTCGTTTTTTCACACTTGCGCTTTATCGTTTCACATGTACATGTACTTGTTCGATCGATCCATAATGCCTGACTCTCATTTTACCATTAGAACTAGGTGATGTATTCGTTTTTGCCGTTGCGCCAAACTCCACTTGAAAGAAGAAATAATATCCTTTCATTTTAAAAAGACTGACATGGGTAAAGTGACGTGTATATGAAATAATACCATTTTGTTACATAAATAAAATAACAAAATAGACTCTTGTTAGGGTAGGTTGTTTTTCTTGGTAACTTAGTTACTCTAGACGTAACTTTACTCGTTAACGGCCTGACGTTACGGCTATAGCCTATGTAATATTTCTGTCTCTCCCTGGCCCTGCACGAAATCCCACAGAACTGAATGTAAATAATAAATGATTTACAATGTTTGATTCCTTAATATTTTTCATAAGAGACGAACTGATTCAACATTATTTTGAGGGCGGGTCTACCTATGATGAAATCTGCTGTATACCCCAAATTAGACATGACTTGAGTTGCAGGTAGGCTCACAGAAGTCTTTTAAATGTTTTTAAATCTGATACATTAAAAAGGTGTTGTTAAACGTCGAATGTACATTTCCAAACCGAATGAAGTTTTACGAACAAACCATCCCCGTCGTTCGAACTCATTTTCCCCGACATAAAACATAGGTTTCGAACTGGCACATGCATTTCATCACACATCTTATTTCATCCGCCTTTAAAATACATTCGATTCACTCGAACGCGTTCTGTTACTTCTGTTCAGAAAGTTTCACATCCGGAGGGGCACTTGTACTTATGATGATTTACACTTACGTCACTATTAATTGGCTCCTTGGGTCATCTGGCGTCACTGCGAAACATGAATTATGCATGTCTCTTGGCAATGGCATCGCATGGTGCCTGGCCGCACGCACTCCCACCCACCATGGAAAGACACTGTGGAAGGATCACAGAGCAGCTCCGGTCCATGGGTGCACTGTCCCAATTCAAGGAAAATCCCCTGACGACATGTACATGTATAGTGTGAGATAAAATATTTCCACCCGAAATAGGGAGAAACTTTAAAAAGTCTACTTTGTTCACAAGTGGGCCACAGCTGTGGTTTCTGCCAAGTCGGCTACATGCCAATGAAGGGATTGTGCAATCTGGGACTTACAACACGATTATGGGATTTAATAATATTGTGAAACTTAGACTGTCTTTGAATGCACGGGGGGGGGGTTTCTGTGAGGCCTAAATGTATCAAAGAGGGGGCGCAACTACTTAGCAATGGCGGCTCCTTTGGTGGGAACTGCATTTTGCTCGTTCGCAAACGTAACGACTCTGCAGACGTTATTAGTAGTGGTCCCGTCTCCAATCGTAGGATTTGCCACGAAGTAAGACGAGTTTCGGGCAGTTGACCCTATGAACAAATCTTAGAAGAATGGAGGATTCCATGCTTTTTAGAGGGTCTCACGGAGGCTACGATCTGTCGTCAGTTCTCCATGATGAAGTCAACTTTTTCGATCTTAGTGCTCAGGAAGTCACTGTGAAGTAGTCGCCAGATCATCGTGCTGTTGATGGCCAAGATCACCGGTGGGATCAAGGGAGCCAGGAACGCCAACGCCCGCGGCATCTCCGGGTGGACGCCGGTTGCCGCCAGGTAGCAGTTGAACACTATGGGCGCCAGGCGACATGTGATGGCCGTCGCGATGTTGAGGACACGGTGCACGCGGTAGAGGGAGGAGTCTTTGGAGAACCCGTAGATCAGCAAAACCTGCCGAGAGTGCAGGAACACGGCGCTGATTTCGGGCAGCAGCGATATTATTCCCAAGCCCATTTCTGCCCGGTACGTTGCCATCACGTAGTATGACAAAGCTACCTGAAAAGTATTTTCAAAACAACAATTAAAACCTCTGCAAGGTCATTCTACTTTACCTTAAAAAGCTATTTTTGTTTTAATGAACTACGGAAATGTGGCCATTGCAGGTACCACTGCAAGCTTATTTGAAGTATGGTGGACACAACAGGAGGGCGCAATTTGAAGTGAGTAAATTCTAGCAAACACAAAAGATTTTACCCCAAACCTTATAGCGCCTTCCTATTGTGTCCGCAATACTTCAATGGACTTATGCAAATTTACGCCCCCAGCCAAGCGATATGAGCCCCTAGCCGTACCAAGAGAAGGCGCAATTTCACAAGCAGTGGAGGCGTCTTTGGTAGGAAATGCAAACCTTACAATCGTATTGCTGCCAACAAAGGAACATTTACCAAGAGACTATACATTAAGGAATAAATTCGTTAGCCGTACTATTAATCTCCATTACGCGCCTGTGTGGCGAGTACCAAAAACACACGCCCTCTTTTGTTCCGCTCGGAGCAGATACACTTAACTCCCGAAGGATTCAACTAGTTTCCATACACTGAGGAAGAGTACAGAGATGCAAAGAACTGAAGGTCAAACAAAAAAATCGTTGCATGTTTCCTGCAACAAGTTTAAGATTAAAATCAATAGAATTTGAATATCAAGGCTACGTGGGAGGTCTGTTGTGGACATGGGCTGGATATCGGACAAGACTGTTTCACATACATTTAATTATTATGAGCCTCAAACTGGACCAAGAGGGGGCGCACTTTTCCTAGCAACAGGCCGGGGCTCCTTTGACAGGAACCGCACTTAACTGGTTCACAAACGCGTATGAAATGCAAGCGTTATGATCACGTCACTAGTGTTAATCTTCGCTACCAACAAAAGTACACTCCCAATCTCGACCGACAAGGGGTTGCTTCTTCGAACAATGCAGTTATGGGAGCGGATGCACTAGCCGTCAGGTTTGGTGAGTTTACTTACAAGAACGTGATGCAGAAGAACGCCCCACTTCTTATATACGCCAGAGTGGATCAGAATGTCCCACGTGTCGTACAAGAAATACCCTGACGACAGGTAGAAAGAAGAATGGATTATGTCAATTTAAGACAGACTGCTCTCCTTACAAGCAAAATGTAAAACAAAAATAACATGCAGACACTGAAATGGCACACTTGACACAAGGAACCTTTTTGGGAGGAGGGGGTTCTTTTTATGGGGAAATATCAAGTCGTCTCGGCGTGCCAATTTATGTTCCGAGTGTAGACATCTAAAGACGCCGTTGATGCACACAAACGGACCTCAACGCAAGTCGGTCACAGTACGGCCGTTGTCGACCCAACGCGCGTTTGGAAAGGGGTCAACAATTTTCGCGCATTGTGATTGGCCAACGTATTGCAAACTCTTGGTGGCGCACTATTGTGAATCGCCCGTATTATACACACGGACGTGTATAATAAAATCTGGACTCGCAATGCCGGAGATCATTGAATCCACTCGCGGCCATTTCACCGAGCCGAATAAAAAGCTTTCCTGGCAATGCCGTCTTTGTTCTTCCTGACGTCAGTAGAAGGGAGCCAACCCACGCATTTGTATTCGGCTCGGTAAAATGGCCGCTGGTTGGCTTCTTTTTCATACAAAGGCGTTTGAAGTTCAAGTTCTTTTATATACGTCCGTGATTATACAGTGCAATAACTGGACACGATGACACAATCCATCTCATGTACAGATAAGGGACAACAGAATGCCCGAACGATAGTTGCAGAGCCGTCCAGTTGGACGGCGGCAACTTGGTCCAGGGGTCCTTATTTTCCTCTGGAGAAAACAAAATAACTTCATCAAAGTTTGTGATAACAACGAAAACAAATTTCTCCTGATCGGTGGGGAATAAATAGACACACAACTCGATTCAAATGGTCTGTTCCTTTTCCCGGTTTCGTATTTTTTTTCACAACATGTTGGGGAAACCTGACTTGAATGAAGGATATTATACTCTCCATTAAGGCAAGTCACTCGCAAAAAGAGTGAGTCCTCTTTAAAACCACTCCAAAAGAGTGAACTTCCACTCTTCCATGGAGCCATATAAAGAAAAAGAAGGTTGTTTTGTGTGGCTCCTCTTTTTTGAGTGATTTTCATTTTTTAAGAGTGGTTTTCACTCTTTTTGGGAGTCTATTTTATAAGAGACTCACTCTTTCGGGAGTGAGGTCTTCACTCTTTTGCCTTTAGAGTAGGCCTAATCGCGGCTCAAGGATGGGTCAAGTCCGATATTTCGACAGGGGAAGCTTCCGCAAGGCGTAAAGACTAGTCTCCTCTCAAGACTGGCAATAAAGCCATTTTCCCCTTCAAAGTGCATTGTGTATTCCCAGACAGTTGTGTACATGTAATTACAAAACAAACTCCCTGGTTACGGTGCTGAGCAGTTCAGATACAGGGCCGTTGTGTATGTGGAAACTCGAAGCAACATTGATGTCAGGTACGCCAACCAATTCAATTTTTACGTGTGCAATCAACCGTGTAAAGACAGTTGTCGGAAAATAAAAAAACCTATATATCACCTCCGTCAGTAGAGCATAGCACCCACAAGGTAGCAAAACTACGCTTATTGCATTGAGTCAGGGTTAGCGATGAAGTGGTGATTTTCGGAGAATAAATATACCAAAAATCAGTCTTACCGGTTGCAATAGCCAGACTGGCTTCGGCAGTGCTTGCATAGTATGTATGGCTATATAGCAAGAGTTTGGGCTTGGTGAACAGACTGAAAAAAACATAAATAAGATATGTTTGGGACAAAACAGTGTTGTCTTTACCGCAGTCAAGCAATTAAACATAACCTTTCTACCAACATGCTGAGATTGTCCAGTTCCTGAACAACAGTTATCAGTGGCTACACAACACATCCAACAAACCTCTTAATATACGTTTAACATTTTCGCCTGTTCACAACTGAAAGCGAGTTGAAGTATCTAATCACTTTAACACGCATTATGAAAATAGTACATAGGCTTCTGCCAGTGCGTATTTATAGGCAAAAGGGGGCAAATGCTTGCCTCCCAACCGAATATAGAAAAGAAAATGAGTATTTTTTTGCTGATTCGGGTGAGAGTACAAAAGGGGACAAAAGAACCCATCCTTGCACACCGTTCTTTGTAGTTATTGTCAAGCTTCCTACAAAACGTGTGTGAAGGCCCGGAGAGAAGCGGGTCAGTGCATTACCAAGCTAACTTGTTCGATTAGGGGTTACGTACCGTGAAATAAGAAAACACACCATCGACTGCAGTACAGGCGCAGGCATGTACATGTACGTGTACATGTATAGTGTACATGTACAAAGTTGGACAGCGTGCACTTCTGGCCATTGTGTAAGAGCTTGAACAGTTACCAGCCTGTCGACATGAGTTGGTTCATGAGCATTAAAGGACTGTCAAAAACCGATCAGTCCCAACCGAAGTCGGTCAATATTTGCAGTTGTCTGTACGTTTGGAAACAGTACAAGTTCCTTGTGTCATATACATGTAAAACATCACGTTAGACCTACTTCTTAAAACTCGTTCCCTAAAGTGTTAGACCTCCTTTCTTTGCTAAAATTGTCCTAAAATTCAAAAGCCCTTCCTCGTGTATGATACTCGAAAATTGTGATGTTCCGGTATGGAATTCATGCCCTACACAATCGGACGCCTGCATATCGTCTGTTTCACGCCCTTTTAAGTGTCTTGATGAAAGTTAATCCCCCCTCCCCGCCTAGCTTTATTTCACAAGAACAGAAACCGGGGAGTCAGCGCAACAGTGTGTCCGGCTGACAATATAACATGACCCATGGCAGGCACCACTTTAGTCCATTTCTTATTCATGCTTGCGACGCTGGTGGCCATAGTCAAATAGCTCAGACATGGACCGGGCAAAGTATCGCGTCACTGCTAATAACCATAACCTACCAATACACAGCAAGGACGGACAGAACGAAAGCGCTGAAACACGACGTGGTTGCGTTCCTCCACCGGTGGCGGTCCGTGCTGGCGTATTTCCCCGGCGGGAGCGGCACGAAACCCAGGTCCAGCGCCGAATTGAAACCTTGGTAACCAGCAGCAGAGACTACGGTCATGGCAGCGAAGAACCTGGACATGACTGCGACTCAGATTTTAACAAAAAGAAGCGCTCACCGGCGCAGACGACGGCCGCTGCCTACGACGGGTTGGCCACAGACTAGTACCTTCCGGCGGACCGTGAGGGCGCAAGTGACCGCTTCAGTAGTTAAAGCATGCACAATAGAGGTTTTTTGTGATAGCCATCTTGCAAGGCAAGTCTTTTGTTCCATAATGTTGCAGACCAGTAAATAAGCCGCCATAGACAACAATGATAAATATCCCCACTTCAAAAATTCAGGAAAAAAAGTTTCTCAGGTGTTCAAGACACATATCAAACTAAGGCTCACTTCCTCATCTTGCATTTTTCTTTCAATTTTCAACAGCTTAACCGTTGACTTTTGAAGATATTTCTCTCCAGAGAAAATCACCCGTCGAAACAGTCATGAGGCCCATCGCTATTTTGAAATTTATGCCTACACTCCATTGCAAAACAGCGATTTGGAGGGCCCCGTTTGGTCCGATACTTTCAGAAATCCAAGCTGACAGTCCTGCCCTTAGATTCCATCCTTTAACAAACCACCCAGTCAACGTGCCACGAAAGGCTCTAATAGCAGAGATTTTGACAACCTACAAATCGTGATTCGGTCCGTGCAGGCGATTTTGGACCTATTTACTGGGCTGCAACCATAGGGAAACTTCCTTGTACATACCCTGTGGAACAACTGAAAGCATGGGCCTGCAAGATGGCAACCACATACACCTGGAAACCCCCTACACTTTGGTTTTCTACACGTGCACCGCATTGTTCTAGAAAGATTTCAAACAGTTATCTTTTAACTTGCTCTCGAAGTGAAACGCAATCTGTTGTGGAGTAGAATATGTTTTCCACAATTTTAAGAGCGTTTTACAGGGAGTACGTTGCAAACGAGTTGCATGTCACAATCAATCACTGAAAACACATTTCGCGCCAAATATTACAATGTAACTCGCGTCGTATGAGCGAGCTCGGTATTTCAAACAAGCAAGGTCATTGTGCAGAAGCCAGTACAACAACCTTTTACATGGTAAAACAGAAACAGAAGATGAAGTTAAACCGAGACTAAAAGGTGTATTTTGAGGTTTGTATTTTTAAAACTCCATTGCAGGTACCCTTTAACAGCATGTCAATATCAAATGTAAATTCCCAGCAAAAAGTACAAAACATTAGAACACTCCATTGCTGCTTTTTCACGGATCATTTAAATTTGTGCTTTAGAATATCTAAACGTTTGAGACAGAGCGTGGACTGTCTTTTTGAAAGAACGCTGAAATTGCAACTCAGTCCCATTGACATTACGTGCAACGTCTAATAACACAAGAGTAATTTTGTAGAAGTACCGATATGTTCCATGAAACATAATAATAAAAAAATATAACACACAAAATACCCACCCAGAGGCTGCTCAAGGCGCTTCCCATAAGTCTTACCCTGCTCATTGGGCCCACAAAATAATCCAAATACAATTTGGAGTATATTTGGGAGTAGACGGCTTCATGCAGCCATTGCTGCGCAAAGCAGCTAAATCAACCACACTACCCATCTCTGCCCTCACAGGGTACCCAATTACTCCTGGGTGGGGAGAAGCAATGAGTTACGAAGTACCTTGCCCAAGGGCACACGCACCGTGATCCCAAGCTGGATTCGAACCCGCAACTACTACGAATCCAATACTCTTAACCACGAGGCCATGACACTCCACACTCCACAGTTAATATATACACACAGCACCACAAAACAGTTCAAAAGAAAACTTCGAAACTTCAGACAGTAAACGAAAATGCCCAAGTCTGTTTAAGAACTAATTAACTCCAACCTGCACCACTGAATAAGAATGGAATCATGCCCCCAAAATTTTTGTCGACAGCTAAATTGTTTTGGAGTCATCCATAGATAATCTCAGAAGTTACAAAAAAAACCAAACAAGGGTTGTTATCCACTAAAATGAAAAATTAACGAAATCCCCACAGAAAGATGTGCATGTAAGTCTGTGCAACAGTGATCTTCTTTTAATTAAACACAAACATTCAAAAGGTACTGTAGAAATGTTTGTATAAAAAGCGTTCATAACAAATATTTATTATTACGAAAGCCTATTAATGCCATTTTTATTTTTCACAGCAGCTATTCGAATTTTCAAAAGCAGCTATTTTTATTTTCAAAAGTACGTGTAGGTGTTTTTATTTTCCTGAGGAGCTATTCATATTTTCAAAAACTTTACGAAACAAGGTTTTGGTCGCGGGCTGTGGCTTATTTTACGTACAATGACAACAGCTGGCCTGCAGCCGAATGGCTGAGGCTCATTCTGCAGCCCGTTTCAACAAGGCCACGCAAGTCTGTTTTTAATCACTTTTCCAGCGAGCTCTTGAAAATATATTATAAACAGCTGCTCACGAAAATAAAAATAGCTGCTCACGAAAACAGCCGCCTTTGAAAATATAAATACCTGCTCTGGAAAATAAAAATAACTACTCACGAAAATGAAAATAGCTACTTTTGAAAAAATATATATCTACTGTGAAAAATAGGGGTGGCACGAACAGGCTTTCGTAGGTTATAATGTGCGTAGTGTAAAAAAACTGAGTTATCTTTGAGCGGTTGAGCACGTTGCCAGTAGTTTCGTTCGTGTTCTTGACCCAGTGAACGTTGGGCTGAGAAAATTTCTTCTCTGGTTTGATGGAGGTTGCAATCACACAGGTCTAGTTACGGGGGACTATTTACCACCGAATACGTGGGCCTTTAAATGTATTTCTCACAGAGCACTACGCGTTAGTACATTCCCTCCTAATAACTAAAAAAATGCCGCCCCAATCATCAACAAAATGGCTGACCATGAGCAAAATACGTAGAAGTGCAGCTTGCTTTCGCTTGAAAAAAGTATCACCATCTAAAAAAGGCATCTCACGCGAAATTTCTCCGAGATATTCGACGCCATTTTGGTTATTTCTTTGGTGGAATAATGTCACGCAGCGTCTCTTCAACGACTGTCTTGACATTTTGCGTGCCGTCGGTGTTCGTTACACGACCATATGGATACTAAGCTTAAGACAGCGGTTGGAACGAGCAAATCAAAATGTTTACCCACGAAGCCGCTGGTACTGTAGCCTATCCCCAAAGGAGATGCAAAAATAAGCTCCATTTTATGCCTAGTTTTCCAAAATAAAGTCAACTTTGTCGGTCTTCGTGCTAAAAAAATCACTGCGAAGCAATCGCATGAGCATCATGCAATTCATCACCAGCGCAGAGAAAGTTAGCAACGGAAGAAGCGTCTGCAGCGCGACCGACGCATGGCCGCGGCCGCCAATGAAGAATGACATAAAGAAGACGTAGGCCACGGGCACCAGACGAAAGAACAGGCCGGTCGCCAGATTGAAGGCTCTGTGCACGCGGTAGATGGGGGAGCTCTTGGAAAAACCATAGATCAGCAAGAGCTGACGGGAGTGCAGGAACACGGCATTGACTTCCGTCAGCAAAGCGATCATGCCCGAACCGAATTCCACCCGATCCCTGCTGAGCATGTAGAAAACCAGTCCTACCTGGATTGTAAAACAACATAATAATACATGTATAGAATAGCGCCAATCAATAAAACAAAGTGAGCACGAACGTTTTGTGATAGCACACACGTCACACCTCCGGGGATTAAGCCTTGAAACAAGCCAGGGTTATTTTCTCAAAGCTAACTAAATCTTTTGAAATGTTGCGACCAAATGAAACTGTTACAAACGTATAGGCCTCACGCCAACATTAAATTGGAGTAGTGGGACTCATGAATTTATGAAACTGAAGCCTGAAGTTTATGCTGGAATCTTACTTTATAAAGGCACAAGAAAGAAGAGCTCACTCTCAGCAAGAGCGAGTCCTTTATAGATCCACTCAAAAAGAGTGAAAATCATTCTAAAAGAGAAGCCATGAAAGGACAGCTCCTTGGGGAAGTGGAGAGTTCACTTTTTTGGAATGGTTTTATGGAAACCTTGAAACCATTTTCCAGCTTGTTTTTTGACCATTTCATTTTTCGGGAAAAGTTTCTTTATACCATTATGTGGTTATGCTCTGTGATTATATACTGTCGTGAATGTGTTGAATTCCATTGTTGAATCATTTGTGGATTCATTGCACAGAGTGCAAAAGCGGCAATATAACTGCAAGGCTCCGTCATTCTGAGTGCTCTTTCTAAGATCATTGCACGTTGTTAAAGGGGCCCGTTTGTTTCATACGGATCTGGATCTCGATCAGTCGTCCTGACGCTGGTTCGCACCATCCACTATGCGGGTATTGGTGTCCGTAAACCAACGACGGATCGCTGATCGTGAGGCAGATCTGTGTGAATTAAACACGGCCCTCGATTATACAACCCCCAAAGGGGCGCGTTTTGAGCGCTACGGCCATCTACTTACAATAACATGGTGAAGCAGGACTGTCCACTGCTTGAACAAACCTGTGTGCATTATGATGTCCCATGTATCGTAGATGACATAACCTATGTACAGAACAGGCGCAAAAGTATACATAAGTTTGTCGATTACACTGCTTCCGGTAATCTTCCCAGGGGCGGATCCAGGTTTTTTTTGGGGGGGTGTCATACAACGGGATTGCTACAAAGTTGTCGCCGATGCATGGTAAATGCATTTAATCTCTTGTTTGTTTCCTTAACCAGATACGAGAAAACTAAGACCCCTACATGGTTTGCGCTTTCAGCGGTGTTGGCATTGAGAGTGGGGGAGGGATGATCCCCGCCCCCAATCTCGGATCTGCGCCTGCTTCAATTCAAGATGTTTTGCTTTATTACAAATAGTAAAATTCTGGTGCTCAGCTTTCCAGAAGAGATACATTCAGCAAACAAAGTACACAGAGAGCGAATAATCAGCAGCTTTTAAGTGCACATTACAAATTCCTAGATGTTTTTAAAAAGTTTAAATTTTAATGAGGCATACAACTGGAATGGTTCCATACGCCTAATGGAAAAAGTGCTCATCAAAGTTTATATCAAACATTCTGTTTTCCGGCGCGTTTCTGACACGTTTTACCGTACAGTTTTCACAGTCAATCCGCAGGGTCTTTTTGAAAGAAACAAAACAAAAAAACAAAAAAACTCCTTCACTTTGTGATCAGGGCTAGAATAATTTAATGACAACAGCCTGTCACCGCACGACTCAAACTGGAAGTTGACCGCGAACATACGAAAGCCAGTAAAAAGTATCCCTCGCCACAGTAGATGTCTGATGGTTGAAACCGGAATTTCGCCAAAACCAAGTGCGTACTGACTGTACATGTAACACGTTTAATGAGTCCAAATTCTCCTCGAAGATAGGACAAACGAGTTTACACCAGCCTGAAAGAAAACATCCAGTTACCAAAACTGCAAAAATGTTTCGTGTGAAGGACGTTCCCGTGTTTGTCGACAGTTATACGGTGAATGTACTCAGTGGCACTTGTCCATTTGCTTCAGCAATCACATTCTATTGACAAATCCTGCCGCAAACAACACACTCGTCACACAATCTCTATGCAAAGTGAACTACTGATCCCAATACATATACACTGAAGAGTGACCTCTACGGTAACTGCCTCGACTTGCGTAGGTTTAGTCTCAGTGCAAGACGCTATTGTCTGCGAAAGGTCATAACCCATCACTGACAGACAGAGCTATTACGTCACACTATCTCATGCGAACCATGCGTCAACAAGTTCTTCGTGTCTGATCGTGCCGTCTTTCAAGGACGGGTTACAATCCAACCCCGTCTTGCGCGGAGACTAGCATGCGGGTATACAGCTTATTCCGAGTCTAATATAATATTGCACTGAAGTTATTGTGTTGCGCACCTACTGAAGCATCTGACCTTGACAAGAAAGCTGATCGAGTCACGCCTATTGAAAGACACACACATAACTCACCAGTCATCACAGCCAGGCTAGCCTCCGCCAACTCGCTGTAGTGTGAATGAGGGGAATGCCAGGCATCTGGATAGCTGAACAAACTGAAAGGAGGTCACGCATACATAATGTTAAGTTTAGAGGAAGATTTCAGTGCAAAGATTATTATAATCAATTCACTACAGATGTTAGATTTCAAAGAAACCTGCAGACGTACAGATAGACGGCCACCATATGGCGATAAGCAAGCCAACTAGCGAGGACTACAGACTTACAAAACAGTGGGCGTCCTTGTCCTTTGATTGGCCAAAATATTTTCACCCACGGAGGTTCAGCCATAGAGCATCTACTCTCCGTAATCTCACTGCCCGATGATATTTCACAGAACCCCTTGTAAAGTGTCAAACTGGACGGTTTTTGAAGTTCGAACCACAGAAGAGGAATATACTCTATATGTTTAATGCCTACACCAGACCAAGTTTGGACGTACCAGTGCAGCGTAAGGACAGACACGACGGCTGCATTGAGGCACGACGTAGCCGCGTTCCTCCACCGGTGGCGATCGGTGCTGGCGTATTTCCCCGGCGGTTGCGGCACCAATCCCTGGTCCAGCGCCGAGTTAAAACCCTTGTATCCGACGGCAGCGGCCGCAGCCACGGTGACGAACAGGCCGGACATGTCCGCGGCAGGGGAATGGCGAGCCTCGTGGCAACAAGGACAACCTTCGGGATGTAAAGTCACTAGGCAAAGTAGACAGCGCTAGCGCGGAACAGGTGAACGGGGAGGGCGCACTGACTGCTACATAGAATATGACTTTCTCGAGCTCCTAATCTAAAATCAAGGGCGGATCCAGAACAGTTTTAGGGGGGTGCTGTTGCATGATTTTTCAGTGTAACCCTTAAGGGCTAAGGGTAAGGCTACATTTGCTCCTTGTAAACATTTTGGGGATTTTTCTTTTGGGGGGGGGGGTTCCATGCCTCCTGGATCAGCCTTGATGGAACTCAGCGGCCGTTTTGTGCACGTTTATTTAACTGTCTGATATTCCATTAGACTGCCCCCTTAAAATGAATGCCAAAATCATATAATTAAACCAGTGGTATAATTAAATAACTATACCAGTTTCAGAATGAAAAGACCACCGTAGTTGTGGGGACATACATTCGATATGATACGATAAGAAAATGTCCCCACAACTCATTCCAAATTTGCGTACCAGAAATTCAGCGTGTCCTCACTCCCAGACATGCACTTACTGCAATAAATAACTGTAAGTACACAAGTTGGTGCACGACACGCATACGTAACGTTCAGGCAACGTTCATGAATATAGCTGATTGATACTTCATTCACTCACTCCGAAGGTCTATATCTGAAGGTATTTAACCAATAACCTTCCCATCAGCATCCGGACAGGATGCCTATCATGATTCAAAGGATAATTTCTTGACATAAAGGCAACCTTGAAACTTGTCGGTCCTGCAGCAGCGGAAGCGTAGAGAGCGGGAGTTCTGACAACCAAAGCACCCGTACTGAGTGACGTTTTACTCCACAATGAAATGAACATGACGACCAAATTATAATAGTCAATTAATGATACATCTAGCCGCTTTTAAATGTTCAAAAGAAGTCAATAATCATTTATGACAACCTAAACATCCCATTCGACTCAAAGTCCCTTATTTTCAGGGAAGTAGGGAAACTTTGAAATATGCTGATCGCACTACAGATTGTACGCACCAATAGAGAACTAAGCCGACATGACGACGGCATTGAAACGCGACGTGGTTGCGTTCCTCCACCAGTGGCGATCCGTGCTGGCGTACTTCCCCGGTAGGAGCGGCACGAAGCCCAGGTCCAGCGTCGAGTTGAAACCCTGGTAGCCGGCAGCAGAGACAACGGCCAAGGGAATGAAAAAGACTGGACATATCTGCACCTCAGAAATGAACGTAGAAAGGCTTATGATTTTTACATTACTGTCTTTTGTAAGAGGATTGTAAAAATGTGTATTATACTGCCAAAAGTACCAGACACGTGAGAAATGGCGCCCTCCTGTTCATTATTTTTATTGCCTTGAGAGGTTGATATCTCAGTTCGGCAGAAAGTTAGATAAAGGTCGTTTATTGTCTTGAGGAAAAGAAAAAGCCAACACCCAAGTGGAATCAGATCTTCGCTGAAATTCCATGCAACATGTTATTTTACACAAAATGGCGAAATGTGTGTCTGTATTTTGCGCAGTTTACCATTAGATTTCTGTATGAGGCCTACTGATTTCCACTTTTGCACGACATTGATTATGGAAAGGATAGCTATAAATAACTCTAAGTAGACACAGAGTACCTGCACATGCAACACACTGTCGTCAATGTCAACAAAAATCAAAACGCTCGTAAAAATTGCTTCACTTTGCTAGTCTTTGGAAGAGACTAATCTCGCCTTGTGGAAGCTTCTTCTGCCGAACTTCACTTCCCTAAAAAGAAAGCCCCCAAAGCCACTATTATAGCCTTTATTCAAGTCTGCAGTTCCAGGGTTTTATGTAAAAAACAATTGCGTCCAGGCCCCCCCCCCAGCGTCATTCATGCATGGCCAACGTCCATATGCCTGGTTCTCATCTCAGTACATAAATTTATTACTACCGAAACACTCTTATCAAACCGTTGTTCGGTGTTTAACCAGCACCATGATTCCTCACTTCCTTCGCATTGCTGCCTGCTCTGCCCTGGGATTCCAGCTCTTCAACTCCTCCCTGGACTGGGGCTGCCTACCGCGGCCGCAGGGTAAGTACGCCGGCAGGGAACGGCACCGGTGGAGGAACGCTGTCACGTCGTTGGTCCACGCCACCATGGCTTCGGCATTTGCCGTGTATTGGTGAGTCGAGTCGCCCGATGGACAACTACTCTGTATTGCGTCTCTTTCTTTGTTTTATCGTATGGGAACAATGATGGCTAACAATTCCATGTGTGTTTTGTTTTGGTTTGAATCGGAGGACGTTTATTTTGAGAGAAAGTGGAATGATTAAAAACGCAAAAATGCACACAGTTGTTGTGAACAAGCAAGACAATAGATTTTCGTCTGCAAATACAGAACTCACGTATGTTTCACCCCAATTCTACGTGTGGAAATTAACGACTTCGACCGTGCGCGGCGGTTACTTGACCGGACCCTCATGAACCATAAGGAAATGTCCTTAGCAACTTACCAATCCTCTGTTGAACTTTCTCGTTTTGAAGACTTCGTTTGCACAAAGTTAACAAACGATCACATTGAAACTCTTTGTATGTGCTCTACAAGGCAAAAGCCGAGTAAAACACTACAGAGTCGTGAAAAGAAATGCTACTTAAATATGAAATTTAGCCTCAAAGTGGTTGCTACGATGAACTGATCTGGGTCACTGGGTCTTTTTTCCACTAAATTTCTCAGTTTTAGAAGTTTTCCCAGTACAGTGAGACACTGCGTTCGACAAGCCATAATGGCAACTACACAAAACAATCAGTTCTGTTTAGCTAGATTTTTTTGTTCGACTTTCGTGGGTTATATTTGATACTTGTGCGCAGCGCGATATGTGTTTTACATGCACAAAACCGATCCAGCCACCTGGCCACGTATACCGCGTACCGTGCACGGCACACTGCGGCCTGTTACACGCGTACCGCGGCGTACATGTGCATATACAGGTACATGGGAATTTTCGACAGAGCCGATGTACATGTTCATGTGGTTCATGTAAAACTGGGGATATATACCGTGAATTTCAATATTTTCCTGACAATTTTATAATGACAGATAGACCTCGGTTATAATAATAAATGTTATGTTAACTTACTGTACTTTTGTGTTCGTCTTTCGTTCCTGAGTCAATGAATTCCTACGCTCGTAAGGCCGTACTGAGTCAGGTCGATATGCAAACGTGTCCGGTCGGGAAAGGAAAAAAATCTAGCGCAAAACCATCAGCAAATCTAAAACCTTCACACCTTTCTCCACCACAGCCCACTTTGGAAAACTTCAGGAAAACTGCGAATTCTTTGTTTCAAGCCTTCAAAAATCGCATCAAAACGTGAACAAACTACGGCTTACGAAAAGAGGTTTTCACAAAAATTACTAGTTTGGACCACTTTGATACTATTTCTCCATTTTATTTTCACAAAGCACGTTAGAAAAAGGCCTCATCTTACCATGAAAATATTTTGGGCAGGAATTTTTATTTCCAAAAAGTGAAAATAAGACGTAAATTTCATGAAATGAAGCAGCTGTTGCCTGGCACAAGTTCCCACGGCCCTCATTACGCACGCAAATGACCCCCAAAACGAGACATGCGCAGTTAATAATTTCCCTCTGAAACGTACGGGAACTGTTGGTCATTAACACGTCAACTGATGTAAAAGCTAAATACCACAGTGCCATCGTCGGCATGACATTTTACCGCCGATGATTGTCTTTAGTTATACCAAATTTTAGCTAGATCAGATTTTATAATATTCTGGATGATGCCTATTTGCAAAGCCCTGTCAAGCCTGCCAAACGATTGTACAATTGAATGGTCATCGCGATTAGAGATCTGTCCACCTATGTCGTGTTTCATTCCGCTAGAAATTTAGAGAGAACGCAGTGAGTGGGCAAGTGTGTCAATGTTCCAAGCACTCATAATTGTAGGGTGGTGGCGCTCTTCTGCCAGGGCCCAAGTATACACAGTAAGCTAGGTAAACACTCTACCTCAATTTGGGGGCTTACAAAAAATTCAGGTGGCTTGGAAAATTTTGAGGGTCTCTGAATATATCACAGAGTGATACAAAACAACCATCCACATCAAAGACCACGCAGGTGCAAGAAATGTTTTTGAGGCGACGATGGTTTTGTGTTTTGAGTTTTGGCGTCACTCTTGCCTTTTCGATTTTTGGGGAGCTCCAAACTGGCTTAATTTAAAGCTTGGTGAAGTCGATCATCGATAAGACACGCGAGGGTGCAGCACGTATGTTCCAGCGCTGTGAAATCGGTACTCTATTATGTCCAGGGTGAGAGTTGGGACGTTGAAACACCGGTGTGCACGCAGAAACCACGCGGTCCAGCCTTCGCGTTAGGCCTCCCCACTCCAAGCATGCGTCCATATCAGAATCAGCCACGTTGTCGACACATGAATTAAAATTTATCCATGATTGGCTTTCAGTTTTTGCATGAGCTTATTAAGGTCATTTTCCTGCAATATTAAACTTTCAAGATGTATTTTTTGCGTTGGGGAGATGTTAATTATTTAATTA